CAACTGCCAGGTTAGTTGTCCTTTACACATCCCCCGTAGACATTAATGAACAGTAAACCCTTGCAGTGTGGGAATTTTTTTTTTTTACCTGGATATAGGCTTTAGTAAGCATTTAACCCTTGTGGTGCAGGGAGGCGAGCACCGCAAGGGTAGATTTTCAGGGCTATTCACAAAAGGGTGAAGAGTTTGGAGAAGGCACGAGAAGTGAACAAGCACAACATAGCTGATTTGGAGAAATTCTCCAATTCAGCTCACTTTCCAGTTTAGCTATGTTGTCCACCTAGATTGTTCACTTCTCCTGCCTTCTCCAAACTCTTCACCCTTTTGTGAATAACCCTGTTTATGTCAAACCCAGGGTTCAACTTTAACAAAAATGTGTACAGTGAGACATGGGGGTTGATTTACTAACCTTTTAAACACACCACGAACGTGTATACACCTCTGTAGTGTGTTCCCTCCCAGCATGATCTATGGGAGGAATCGAAACACCTTTGTAGTGTGTACACACCCAGCAGGTGTGTTGTGCAAAGCCCTGCAATGAATTGCAAGGTAATGTGGTGTAAATTAGCTCTATGTTATGTTGCTTGCGTTGATGAATGCAGGAATGTAAATGCATGAGCTAACCATTTTTGTCTAAACTGTGAAGCAGCATTATATATGCATCATGTGCATGATTTTTCCATATATGGCATTAGTGGAAAAATGCTTATAGAGACTTTTTGGTTGATAAATACGTTTTGCTGTGTGAAAATCACACACACCTGGTGTGTGTGTGTGTGTTTAGATTAGTAAATCACCCCCATGATGTCAAACTTCAGAGTTCAGCTTGTAGCAAATAATATTTATTGCATTCTGCAAAGTGTGTTACCTAGAAATCCTGCCACTTACAGCACTTTGCAGGCTGACAACACAGCTGACAATGAAGCCAAACATCTTGAATAATAGATTTTGGGTTTGCATGCACTATAATGAATGTTAGGATTTTCACAAACCTGTGTCTTCTCTCTTAGATGGGCAGGGATGTGAGCTGTCTGTAAAACTGTTGGTGCTACCTAAATAAAAACATTACAAAATACAGTGCAACTTATAATGGGGCGGCTCCAGCACTTATGTATTTTTTAATACAGCATGTGATAAGCTAGAACCCCCCTTTATCTTATAATGGTACTTCTGATCATAAAGTGTTATAGAAACAGAACATGTCCAGGCCTTTTTTTTATAGGTGTCATTTCCTACAATAAACCTATCGGGCCATAAATGATGGCTGTTAGTGTATGCAGAGGCTGAGTCTCGCCCAGACATGGCGACATAGCCATTACTCCTAATGACGTTGCCGGGTACATAATTCCCTGCATTCAACAAGCAGGCCACTGTTTCCAGGCTGGAAAGTTACCAAAAAAGTGTTACAAAAGATGAAAACCAGAGAAACTTGTTCTAACAGCCACACGTAAAACCGCACTGTGACTGTAATTGTATACTTTGTGGGGTTTTCAGGTTTGTAAATAATCTGTGAACCAGGCTCAGAGAAAGCGTCTGCCGTGCAAGGCAAAAAAAAAGTTTGTTTTGTAGAAAGTACTTCTTATTTTTATACAGATTAACCATGTGTTATAAGCCTGTTATCCTCCCTTTGTGGACTGAACCCGACATGGAATGCTCTCTCTCTCTGCCCTTCCCAGCTAACCACTGACCAGTAGCAGTGGAAATAGTCTTGGCCGCATGATTTGTTCCAAGGTGTAAGGCAAGGCAGGTGTAGCAGTTCATTATCGTATATATGACTTGTATGGGCATAAAGGGGCATGTGCATATCTGAATGTCTGTACATGCTCTGATGTCTGTGGCTAGTTTATCGATTAAAGCTGAACTCTGTCCAAAAACTATTTTTAGACATGTGCCCTGTAAAATAATCCTCAATCGCATGAATTGTGTCCCATGTATCTAGAATGCCAAGGCACTTTACGAGTGGAGGAGGGGTGGATGGACCATCACAATCTTCCCTCCTCCAATCACAGGGTCACTAAAAAGAATGCAAAACATTTACTGAATGGAATAGCTGGAGTGAGAGCGACCCAACGTGATCTGAGTACTCCAGCCAGAACTGTAACTCTCAGTGTTGGAGGTCCAGAGCTGACTGCACTGGGGGTGAGTGAAAGTCAGAGTGATACATAATGGTGCAGCCATGACACATGGGACACACTTCATTAGTGTGGATTTATTTTTACAGCATGCATGTCAAAAAATTAATTTAGCCTTTAATAATTTCCCCATTTCGATGATTTGCCTGTAAAAATCTTAATTTGCAGTTGGGAATGTGCCTTCTATTTTTATGTCAAGCTTTGCAGCTTCTGTATGGCTACCTCCTACCTGCTTACTGGGCTATGAAAAAGCATCAACACATTGATGATGTGGGTCCTGTCTAACCCCATTTCTGCAAGCCTGCCTAAATACCTTCTCCAGCCCCTAGTGCCTGAAACATATTTGGAAACACCTCATCCAGCCCCCGTAGTCTGAACAGCATTACTCTTTGCAATAAAGCCTAGTTGCTTCTAGTGCTAGCAAGCCAACTCCAAGCATCCAGACAACCAGCGTTCTTGAAAGGTGATTAGCGATAGCAGCCTCCTTATCCATGTAGTTACAGGTTACAAAGGAAAACCTACAGACTAATGTTATGCTATTGGATTTCACAGCATGTACATATTCAGTATAGCAGTGGATACAGCCCAGCCTCACTCTGCACAAAGCAGAGCCCTCTCTGTGTACTTCAGGTTACAAATTAACGTTTTTTTCCGGTAATAAGGCAGCCATGCCACTAAAATATCTATTCTGAGAGCAGTTAGCTGATGCCCTTGAGCATTAAGTGCTGTATTCTGCTGTGGGTTGTAAGTCTATGCAAAATTAATGTATATGCAGACGTTCATAAGTAAACCAAGCTAACCACTCTGTAATGCTGCAAAAAGAAAGAACAGTTTTTATAGCAAATGTAGTGTCATCCTTCCAGCTCATGCAGTTAGTTTAGAAAGTCATTTCGACATTGTTTTATATCCGGAGAGTTCTTTGTTTCTTTCTCTGTATCTGCAAATATTTAAAAGAATTCCAGGAGTTGTCTGGATGGAAATATGTGTATTTATTGTATGAGGTCAGACATATGACAACTGTCAGACTTCAGGTGACCTCTGACACCCCAGCTAGGCTCAGACAAAGTAAGTCAATCTATACAAGATTGTAACATAAACATAGTATTTGAGGTTGAAAAAATACATAAGTCCATCAAGTCCAACCTATTGCGTGCATGTGTATGGTTCTGCTGATGTGTGCGTATGTATAAGTACCTCTGTCATCTCATTCTTAAGAGTACCTGTACCCCTGTATATTACGGTCCCTCAGGAAATCGTCCAAAAGCTTCTTGAATGATTCCACACTCTTTGCTGAAATCACTGCCTGTGGCAGCGAGTTCCAGACTCTAACCGCTCTAACTGTGAAGAACTCCCTTCGCCCCTTGTGCTGAAATTTTTTTTCCACCAATTTTAGGTGGGAAAAAAGATGAAGATAGAAATATTTTAAGTAAGCCTGCATAGTTAATATTAAATCGAAGTATATTAAAACCCAATCACTAACATCTTATACGCACTTTAACATGTTAATGTATTTACAGTTGTTGTTTTCAGTCTTTTTACATCTGCAGCTGTCATTCAAAAAATGTCTGGTGACCCTGCCATGAAGGTTCTTTAACAGGATATCTGGCAGTGAAGGGCACTCCAATCAGTTCTTGTGCCTTGTGCATACAATTGACATCCTAATGGCATGAATTAGGCAAATCGTCTCTCCCAATATTTCCAACATCGTTTGCACAAAGCATTTACTGCATATATCCAAGAGTTCTGAATCCAATATTCAGTGCATGCGGGCAGCAGTAAGTTAAAGCATACAAATCTCCATCTAAAAAAAGTGGTAATTTAAACTATCAGAAAGGCTCTTTTCCAAGCGTTGAGTACTCCATCTTTGAAAAAGAGACGATAGCTCCAAACGTTGCTTTATGTTATAGAGCTTTTTATGCTTTAACTTGCTGCTGCCTGCTGGCACTTTAATAAGCTGTTATGGGCTAAATGTCTGGAAATATAAGTGCCTTGTGCAGCAGTTCTGCTCCTACACGGTCACCCTGTCACATGTCCAATCAGGGTTTAGATTTTCTTTAAGGTTCCTGTGCGAGCCCAGTTGTGACTTGATTTTTGAAAGCACACGTTTCTTTAAACACAGCCAGTCCATTGAAAGACTCTGAATGAAGCAAATACATTTTTGAACTTTCCAAAAACTGAGTGGGTTGGCACATTCACACCGAAACCGTTGCGTTGCCATCCTTTGCGTTGCAATGCCTTTTTCAACAGAATGTATGGGCACTGAAAAATTAATGGGTGTGAATAGGGCTAAATCACACCACTCCATTCCATTGCGTTACCGTGCATTGCACTGAAAAAAAAGTAGAACATGCACTACTTTTTGTCAGTGCAACTTAATGCAACGGATGCGGTGTGAACTAGTCTCATTCACGCCCATTCATTTTTCTGTGACCTTCCATTAGCATTCGTTAAAAAACGTATTGCAATGCAATGGATTGGAAGGTAATCAGAAGGTACAATTGCAAGTCACCGGACCCTTCATTGACTTGCGATTTCCTTCCGATTTTGGTGTGAATGCAATGTCTAAATCTAACTTATTAAAAATTCTATATGTTTCTGAAGCAGGGTGAGTGTCTGCCATGCATATACACTGGCCTCTTAGCAGATAATGTCTCTGTCCCAAAAGTATGGGTTATTTTGTGTTGTAGATAGCCAGGGCTTGAAAAATCCGCTCGTCCTCTCGTCTGAGCCGGAAGAGTAGCTTCCTGGCCGCATGATTATACACAACTTACTGTGATCTAGAGATCTTGAGATCCTGGAGTTCTTCTTTGTTTGATGGTCTTTGTTCCTATTTGTACATGCACTAATACTGTTGTATTTACCTTTCAGGGTTATCAGGGTATGGTCGATGGTGGAGCCAACATTGTAGAGGTATCGTGGGAGAGCGTGTCAAGCATCCTGCAAGTGGTAAGAATGAAGGGAAAAATAAACCCAAATCCAGACAAATTGTTTTTTTAGTTTTAGTGTCTGTGTTCCCATTGGGGGGATTTTCTGTCTATTTAATGCTTCTCATACAAAACAGGAAATGGGGAAAAATCTCCCAGACAAATGTCCCCAGGACAAAAACATTAATATCTGACAGGTTTTAACCTTCTTTGTATTCAAAGCTATAAAAAAATCTTACATACAGTTGAGCTTTAACTTTTGTGTTTTGTCAATTATTGTCTTGCATCCACTGCAAATGGATGTCAATGGGACCTAAATGTGTCAGAAGAAATAGCTAAACAGGTCAAACATAACCCCAGAAGTGTAATGCACTCTTCAAAATAAAATTAATGGTGTTGTGTCTAAATACTTGTCCAATGCGGAAAAACAATGCATTTCTACACAAGCCCTAATGGTGTTGAATGTCCAGTTTGAGATTTGTGAAGTCTCAGCATTGGCAGTGTTGCACCATAACTGCTGTAAAATGTTTTTTCTATAATTATACGCCATTCTCAGAACATAATTTGTCCACATTTTTTTTTTTACTATTTCTTTGTTTCATTGATAGTCCCTTTAATAAAAATAAGTATTTGTTTCTCTTACAGGGTGGTACAGTCATTGGAAGTGCCCGCTGCAAAGCATTCCGCAACCGTGAAGGGCGTTTGCAGGCAGCTTACAACCTAGTTCAACGTGGTATCACAAATCTCTGCGTTATCGGAGGAGATGGCAGTTTAACTGGCGCTAATCTTTTCCGAGAGGAGTGGAGCGGACTTCTTGATGAATTAGTAAAAAATGGTACTTTTATGATGTCTTCAATGTGCTTTTTGAAGGGTCATATATTTATGCTGGTTTGGGGTCAATTTTGTTATTTTGTTTTGGAGTCGATTGATAAAATGATTAATATATATAGTGTGTGTGTGTATGTATATATAT